ACTCTAGACATGTCGGGCGGAGTCTATGCAAAAATGTCTTGGTTCCTTTGGAGAAGATCTACATAGTCCAACCTTTGCTCATCGGAGAGTAGGGAACCAAGCTGCACTGTTCTCGAGGGATGTTTGTTAGAGAGTGAGATGTGAACCAAGTCTTCCACGGGAAAAGCTTGTTGAGATGTCTCAAAGATCGAAGTTCTCAATGCTAAGTGTCGTTGACAGGTGTGGCCGAGCTTATTTGAGGTAGCATGATTGTGTTTTATGTTGATCATCTCGCATGATGTCGATCTCTGCTTGCGTTGGAAACTTGATCTTCAAGTGTGTTACAGAAGTCACGATGCCAAAGATTGATTGCAGTGGTCTCCCAAAGATGACATTATATGTTGATTGTGATTTGACAATGATGAACTGGAGTAAGTGTGTTATCTGTGGAGGAAAATCTCCCACGATAATAAGGAGATTTATTGTTCCCTCAACTCTCATTGGTCGATTATCAAAACCATATAATGGTCAGGATGTAGGTTGAAGTCTTTCTCTTGTTAATCTCAAACTAAATAAAGTTGAATAGAACAAAACATTGACAGAGCTCCCATTCTTGATCAGGATCATCTTTACTTTATAACAGGGCTTGCCAATTCCTACGTTAATGACGAGAGAATCTTGGTGGGGGACTTGAACTCCTTCCAAATCATAATCATCAAAAGTGATAGGTTTGAGGTGCAATTTCTTCTGCATTGGTTCACCAGGTTCAATGATAAGGACTTGTTCAGTCAGCAATGGGCCCCCAACAATTTTCTGAATTTTGCCTCCGATTGGGTGATCCCCATGTTGCTGCCTTTGTGTATGTTGCCCCCGAGTAGGAGCATTATCGGTACCAGCTGGGTTGTTTTATACAAATCGACCAAGATATCCCTGCTTAATTAACCTTTCTATCTCCTCCTTGAGCTGCTTACACACTTTAGTGTAGTGGCCACGACTTCAATGAAAATGACAGTATTGTTCTTGATTCCCTGAGTTGGTTTTAGGGGGTGATTCCACTTAACAACTTGCTCATCTTTGATATCCATTAAGACTTTAACATGTGATGTGTTGAGTGGTTTATACTCTTTCTTAGGTCGATACTCACTTCGCTGGCTCGCAGGTTGAGGAGGGAGGTCACGATTGCTCTGTTATTCAGATTTTCTCAGTTGTGAAGATTGATTATTATCTCTAGTGTTATTCTTGCGCTTTCCTCCAAATTTCTCGAACTGCTCTTTATGTGCACAGATGGCCTTGTCCGCAGTGATTTATACTTCAATACGGTGGCAAGGTCAGCATAAGAACAAACTGTCTCTCGCATCAGTGATGAGTAAAAATGTTCTGGGCGAAGCCCTCCAAGGAAGACTCCCCTTAGTAACTTCGGATCCACTCCCAAAATTTGACGGGCTTCAATAGAAAATCTGCAGAAGTAGTCCTTGAGCGACTCTCCTTTGCTTTGAGAAATTCCCGAGAGATGGGATGAATCCTTGATGATTCTTTGATTTGTGATGAACGGTTTTGCGAACAGTCTGGCAAGCTCGTTAAAGGTGTTTACAGTGCACCCTAGCAGAAAGTAAAATCAGGTTCAAGCTTGTCCTTTAAGAGTAGCCGAGAACACTTGGCACAGAAGCGCATCAGAGGCACGCTGAATGTGTATGATGGTTTGACAATAATCAATATGCTCGTAGGGGTTGGTTATCCTTTCATATGTATCGATGTTCAGAAGCTTGAAGCCTGTGGGGATGGGGTGTTGGAGGACCGCATCCACTAGGGGTGAGGATTCGTGTATGTTACGGTGAGTGTAGAAGCAATCCTTTTTCTCTAGGGTAACTCTTTCTAGACAAGGCATTGTAGTTCATTATGAATGACATCATTTGGAATGATAGGAAGATGTGGCGATGTCGGGTGAGCTGCACGAGATGAATGAGTGGAATTTGCGGTATCTAGGAGTTCTGCATCACGACCTGACATGGGAAGTGTTCCTTCTTGAGGAGGCAGACCGATATGAGTTCCTCTGAGCGACATGTTTCTCATACGTCACAGAGTTAATGGTAAACGAATTTCATTCAATGGTGTAGTCAAAGGTTGTTGAGCCCCACATAGGAGCTGTATGATCTCTAGTTGAGACTCCTCCATTCTACGCATTCGATCTTCTATAAAAGCGCTTAAAACACCTTCGTTGGTAGGATAACATCTTTCAGGGCAAGAAGATGAGGAAACATGCCACCCTTGGCTTTCTGACTGCTCCCTGGAACGATGAGTGTTGGAGCGAGATGCTCCGTTGTCACGAACATTTTGTCTGGTGGTCATGTAGTAAACCGCGTAAGTATTTTAATTGTGAGATTGAAACTTTCCCACAGATGGCACAAAACTGATGCATGTTGTGAAAATTCATGCAGTAGAGTAATGAATTATGGTCGTAGCTTTGCACGAGAGTTCAACACACACTAAGATGAAAATGGAAATAACCTCTGATGACACCATAAGTTTTTACGTGGAAAACCTGTAAAGGGAAAAAATCACGAGGCCTGACTCAATTATAAAAATCTAATATAGGTTGATGATTACAGGGATCCCTTGTCCCTTAGACTGGAAAGAGTTACTAGCTTTCCAAGTAACAACGTCGACTGACGACGTCTAGTTAACGGTAGTCGACGGATGTCTGCGGTGATCGACGAAATTCAATGACAATCAATGACGGTCGGTGGTGGTCGAAAGAGGTCAGTGAGGGTCGACGACAGCAATGACGGTCGGCGGTGGTCGGCGGAGGTCCGTGGTGATCGACAATAGTCAATGACAATCGATGACAGTCGGTGGTGGTCGACGGAGGTCATCGGTGGTCGACGAAGATTAGCGGTGATCGACGGGAGTCGACGGTTGCCGACGACGGTCGACAAAGGTCGGTTGTGATCATCGGGAGGCGTTGGTGGTCGACGAAGGTTAACCATGACAGGGATGAAGTTAGACTTGTGCTCTTTCTCAAAGCCTCAAGTTCTCTCTCAAGTCTCCCCCTTTATTTGAGGGGTGAAGCTCTATTTATAGTGTTTTGGGTGCAATTATTGCAGAAATATGAACCATTTTGATCGGACAATTAGGAGAGCTTCCCTCGATCAGATGATGTTTGATGATTATTTGAGTGTCTTAACGATATTGAAATTGAGCAATTTTGGGCTCGTTGGATTCATCTTGTCGAGACGCTCGATTCGACCATAAACTCGCTAGATTCGAGAACCGTTTGACTTTTCAAATGCCTCCAGAAATCTTTCAAGAATGATTTAATGATTTGATCCGGGCTTGATCTGACTCGGATGGTACTAGTTTTTATATCATCCTTCTCATCGAGTCGGTTAGTTTGACTATAAGTTTACTGAAATCAGAGCTCTTGATGACTTTTTATCAAGATTTGAATATTTCTTGCTCAAAATATTGAATATTTCTTGCTCAAGATTTGAATATTTCTTGCTCAAAATATTGCCTCGAGATTCGTGTCGAATGGTGAAAATTTGTTGTTGACATATCAAGACACACACACACACACACACACACACACACTTATGTTACTGTTATTATTTATTAACATTAATATTATTTATGTATGGATATATGTCTATGTTATTGTTATTATTTATTATTACTATTATATGTATTAATAACATATAATAGTAATAATAAATAATAACAATAACAATAACATATATATACATACACAAATAATATTAATGTTAATAAATAGTAACAGTAGCATAAATATATATATATATA